AGGGAGCACCTGGGGGAGGGAGCACCTGGGGCAGGGAGCACCTGGGGCAGGGAGCATCTGGGGTAGGGAGCACCTCGGTGTCAGGAGCAGCTGGCGCTCTAGGGATTCTACACTCTCACCCCTGAGATCCCATGTAAACATCCAGAGGAGCCTCTGGAGGCCGTCGTGGGGCCTTGCTGGCTGGGACCACTCAGCCCGGCCACAGGCAGGAAGGGTGCCAGCCCCGGGGAGGCCCCACCCTGGCCGCAGCCCGCTCTGCAGAGAGCCCCGCTGTCTGCTAAGGCCCAAGCTCACTGCTCTTGCAGATCTGGGTCCTGGTGGGTTATTCGACTACAGACCAAGCAGAGCAGAGCCTTCCCTCTGCCCTGGTCCCAGGACTCTGTAGCCTCCCGGCTGCCCAGCGCAGGCAGGGTTCTCTCAGGCACAACCTCTGGCCCTGGGCGCAGGCTGTCTGGAGTGTGGCCCGAGGGACCCTGGCTCTTGTCTCTGCCCTGCAGGTCCCCGAGGAGGTACATGGGTGCTATGTGGCTACGTGGTGGAGGGGACTCCCGTGGCAAGATGACCCAGGACGGGGCCAACCCCACGCGCCGGCTTCTGCCCTGGTGGCCCTGAGAGCTGGTGGAGCCTGGCCTTGCCTGCCGCATGGGGAGGGGACTGGTGACCCGGCGGCCCTGCTCTGGGGTTGTGGTCTGGACAGGGCTGCAGGCACCCTGGTCCCTACCACAGGGCCCTGGGCAATGAGCCCTGACCCTGGGCGGGAATAGCAGCACCCACTGTGTCTTCCTGGCTCCTAGGAGCCACAGCTGGCCCAGGGCGTGGCAGGGGCCTGTCCTACCCTTGCCTGGCGTCCCCCCACCGACTTGGGCTTCACTGGCCCAGTGTCCAGGGTCAGGGCGGCGAGTGTCACAGAGGTGCGAAGCCCAGGGGCTTCATGGGAGCAGCAACAGGGCAGCCCCTGCCGAGCATCACCGCTGCCTCTGACTGGCCTGGCTCGCACAGCCGTGGCTTCTCCTTCTGAGCCGGTGCCCACCCACCCACCCACCCAGCGGCTCCCCAGGGGCAGCACAGTGGTTCTCCTGTGCCTTTTGCCCAGGTCCCAGATGCACAGGCAAGGCTGGCCAAGGTCACTGCCCAAGTGCCGTGACAGCAGACATGCCCCATGGTCTCCTGGCTCCCAGCAGCGTGAACTCAGCCAGGCGTGGACGCAGGAGGGGCGGGGCCTGGGCAGCTGACCACCTGCTGTCTCTGCAGCTGGCGGGCCACACAGATGCACACCTGGGCCGAGACTTCTTCCGTGGCCACCAGCCGGCCGCGTGCTCAGACACCCACATCAGCCTGCGAGAAGTGTGGGGCCGTGTGCGGCTGCCACCTGGCGAGTACCTGCTGGTGCCGTCCACCTTTGAGCCCTTCAAGGACAGTGACTTCTGCCTGCGCGTGTTCTCCGAGAAGAAGGCCCGAGGCCTGTGCGTCGCGCACCCTCCTGGTGGTGGGGTGGGCCTGGGCGCCGGCCGTCCTGTCAGGGCCCTGCTGCGCCATCTCCAGGGCTCAAGCGTCAGGGACACAGGCCAGGCCTCTGGGGTCCCCGCCCCGGCCCTTCGCTCTGCAGGACACCGGGTCTCAGAGGAGGGGCCAGGCTGGGGGAGGCCGGCTGGGGGCCGCTGTCCATCAGGGGCCGGGGCCGAGAGTGTGCGGGAGAGCTCGCTGCAGCACGCACCACGCACAGCACACAGCATGCAGCATGCACCATACAGCACGCACCACGCATTACAGCACGCAGCATGTGCACACCACCACACTTCATACCCAGAACAGCCACATCCTGCCACACATGCCGCACAGCACACACTGCATAACATGTACTGCCACACCCACCACGCACAACACACACAGCACACAGGACACCCAGGACCCACACAGTTAGAGACTGTGAGACGCCCCATACACCATATGCACTGCCGCAGAGGGAGGATCGCAAGTTTACGCCCAGCCTGGGCTGCTTAGCAACTTCGTGAGCCCTTGTCTCAAAAAATAAGGAAAGGGCTGGGGATGTGGCTCAGTGTGAAGGCCCTGGGTTCAAATCCCAGGCCAGCACTAGCACCAAATGCTCCCAGAGCTGGGCAGCCTGACCCTCCCTCCTCCCCGCACCGAGCCTAAAGTCCTGGTCTTAGGTGAGCCCAGGTGGGTGGGGCTGCACACCAAGGGGCCTCGCGAACACTTCCGTTGATGCCACCGTGGGCCGGACCTGTGGGCCCCTCCTCAGGAGGGCAGAGCTGGCTGAAGCAAGCAGCAGTGTCTGCACTGTGTACTTTCTGAGTCTGGCCCATCGCCTGTCTGTTTCAGGGAAATCGAGGATGTCGTGGCAGGAAACCCGTGCGAGGTAAGCATTCACTTTGCGCTGAGCTCTGACCCTCACAGAGCAGCAGCTGAGGTGCCCCTTGCCTAGGGACAGGGTGCGTCAACCCTTCCTGACGTGTCAGGCGGCCGGAGGAGTGCTCCGGGTGCTGGGGACCCAGCAGGAGCGAAGTCCTGGGGGACAGGCCCATCCTGCCTGGCCCGGTCTCCAGGGGTCTGGAGGGCAAAGCAGGAGCCAGGCAGGGAGGACAGTGCAGCCTTCGGGGCCTGGGTGTGGGCCGGGTGGGGGGCCCAGCCGGGGAGCGCTCTGGACCGGGGTGTGGGTCCCCTCACTCCACAGCCCTCGTGGGCTCCCTCTGCTCGTCCTCAGATGCGTGCCAGGGCCATCGAGGGCGGCACAGGCTGGCTCCTCCCTCGTGTGTACCAAGTGGACCCAGGTGCCCTGGCCAGCAGGGTGGGGTGGGCACACCCCCAATGACCGGGACCCTGCGGCCCTGTGAGCTCAGATCCTGGCCTATGTCTCAAGCCTCAGTTTCTCCCTCTGTGAGGTGGGGTGTCACAAACCCCACCGCGTGGGACAGCTGGAAGGATTCATGAGCAGATCCTCAGAAGTACCTCTCATGAGCCCAGCCCAGGCGAATCCCAGTCCTGCCAGAGCTGCGAGTCCTCGGTGCCGCCCGGCTGTCCTGGCTTTTTCATCTGTGCGTGGTGAGGGACTTGGGGACAGCGGCCTGGCTTCCGGAACCTTGGAGGCCCCCAAGCTGCTGTGATGTTTCTATTCTCTGAGACGGCGGTGGCCTGGGGCCGTTTTATTTTGGATTGGGCCCATTCTTCTACCAGAAAGTCCCGGCCAGAGGCATCCGTGCAGCAGTCTGTGATTTTCAAACGACTGACACACATGAACTCTTGTCCAGACTGCTGCGGTGTGGCCCAGGGAACCCTTGTCAGAGCAGAAGTGGAGTGGTGTGCAGAGGCCGGGCTGCATCTCGCCCTCAGCAACTGCTGTTTCAGCCCTGGGCTCTGGGTTTCTGGCTCTGCTGCATGGACAGCCTCAGCCTTGGCTGCTTTCACTCATATTCTTGGTGGAGAATGTGATTATCACTGGGAATGTGGACATGAACACGGCCGGATTCCCGGGCGATTTCTGCGGTGCACACCTAGACCCTCCCGGAGTCCCCAGGCCCAGCCCAGACCCCCAGTGGCAGCGTCATTCAGTTCTCTCAACACCACTTAGGGATGGAGCTAGAGGGCAGGATGGATCGCCAGAGGTCCCTGGGCCTGGTGCTGGGTCCCCACTGGGGCGGGAGCCCCTGGTGGCTGGGACCCAGGTGGCTCCCTCGTTCCCTGCCCTGTGTCCCCCCTAGCCCAAGGCCTGGTGGGGGTTGCAGGCATGGCTCACTGTCACTCCCTGCTCCACGGTAACTGTGCACCGCCCTCCCGCAGCTGCGTCCTGCTGAGGTGGAGCACGGGCACCAGGAGCTCTGCAGTCTGTGTGAGGAGCTCTCGGGGAAGGTGAGTGAGCTCCGGCCCTCACTCCCTGGGCCGGGAGGCCAAAGCTGTGTCCCCTGGGCCCGGCTGCTGGTTGACCTGAACAGAGAAAAGTGGGCCTCAGTCCTGCGGGAAGCCTTTCTCGTGGAAGTTGGCCCTGTGGCCAGCATCTGCCAAGGGAGCCAGGCCGGTGCTCTCAGCAAGGTCCCCTGGAGGGGAACTGCTCAGCCCGGCAGGGGCCACTTAGCTGACCCGCCTGGGCTTGGAGATGCAGCCGCCCGGGCTCCTTGGCCCCCTGGGCATCCAGGCTGGGCCGCTGGGGTCGGGATCAGGGCACAGGTGAGGGGCACGGCCCCCCTCTTACCACCCCGGAGGCTTCTTAGGGGCCCTGGGATGACCGTGCTGTGCCTGGTGCGGCCTCATGCCTTGTGGGTGTGGGACAAGAGAGGACCCGACCAGGCCCCTCTGCCCAGTTCCCCCTGGCCCCCACGCCTCACCCGCTGCAGCCCACCCTCCCGCTGGGGGTCAGGGCTTGGCTTCCCTGGGCTCAGTGTCAGGCCTGCCCTAGTCCCCACTCCCACTGCCCTGCAGGGCTCCGGCTCCTGAGGGCACTGCAGAGGGAAAGCCATGCCTGGGGCAACGCAACCCGGCTCCACCCCTTGGTAGCCCTGAAGCCCGGCCCGGAGCCTGGTACCCAGGAAGGATGGGGCAGCTGCGTGGGTGCAGCACCCGCTGCACCCACACCCAGCCCTGGCCAGGCCCAGAGGGGATGGAGGTTACCCATATCGCAGGCTTTGAGGACCTCAGGGGCCCCAGTCTGTCACCGAGGAAGCTGTCAGGGCCCGGCATGACCGCCCTTGGGTCTCTTTCTAGGGTTCCGAGATCGGTGCCGACAAGCTCAAGCAGGTTCTGGATGGGGTGTTTTCCAGACGTAAGTCCCTCGCGGGGCTCCTCAGTCTGGGCACCCGGGGACATGGGGGCTGGGGAGGGCAGGCACAAGGGGGCCCGGAGCTGCGGGGCTCTGGCCTCTGGCCTGGGCTGCAGATTCAGTCCAGCAAGAGGAGAGCCAGGAGGCGGGTGGCCGGGCGGAGGCACCTAGGATGTCAGCCAGTGGTGTGCGGATTCTGGGGTGGATGGGAAGCAGGGCCATGCCTGACTCGGGGCCAGCGCGCAGGGACCAGGTGAGGGATCCGGGCTGGGTGCTGCTCTGGGGAAGGAGGAGAGGCAGTCCCTGCCCTTGCCACCTGCTCCTCCTGTCTCTACACAGCAGCGAGTCCTGGCCACCCAGGTCCAGCACTGGAGCAAGGCTCCGCCCCTCTGCCTTTGCGGGAGGGTCTGGTTCAGGCGGCCAGGTTCTGTCCTCCAGCTGCTGGGTGACAGGTCCTTCTCCCTGCTGCAGCAGGGCCTGGCGGGGATGCTGCAAACCTGGGGGATGGGGGTGAGCAGCTGGGGCCTGGGCCGGGAGGCGGCCCTTCCATCCTCTGTGTCCCTCTGGGTCCTGCTGCCTAGAGAAGAGCAGAGAGGGCAGGAGAGGCCCAAGGGGCTCCCAGGTGGGCGGAAGGAGGTGGGGAAGGAGGAAAGAGAGGAGGAAGAGGAGAGGAAGCAGAGGAGGAAGAGGAGAGAAAGGAGGGAGGAAGCAGGGGAGAGATGGGTGGGTGGTGGAACCTGGGGTTTCCCGGGGCGATGGCTGTCACTGGGCGGGGTATTTGTGACCAGAGTGCAGGCCGTGGGGCCTGCTGGCCTGGCCGGGGCCCTCTGGGCCTCAGTGTCCTTGTGTATAAGCGGTGACAGTGACCCAGTGGGGCTGCTTTGCAGGAGGCCTCGACAGACACTAAAGCCCGGGTGTTTACTAGAAACCGGCCGCAGCGCCGCACAGGGCATAGTGCGGGCTGCCCCTCACCTGCGAGCTCACTTCCCTTCCAGCTGTCCTCAGGCAGCCACTGCCAGTCTCGTTCTCCGCCTTACATCGTGGAGGAGGAAACTAAAGCTCAGAAGTGAGGGCCTGCTGGGCCCTGCTTGTGAGTCTCGGGGTTCAGAGGCTGAGCAGCAACCCCGGGTCGGGCTGCGTCAGTGTCCGCCCACCGGCTCCACCCTGCCCACAGGCCGGCTGTCCCGGGGCTCTCCTGCCCTGCTGGTTGTTTATTTCCCCTATTTCCCAGATGCCCCAATTCCCCCATTTTCTGTGTCTCTGTTTAGGAACAGACATAAAGTTCGATGGTTTCAGCATCCACACTTGCCGGGAAGTGATCAGCTTGCTGGACGTATCCTTTGAGCAGCTCAGCCTCTCTCTTTCACCTTTTCCCGCAGGAAGGGAGGGCGGGCAGATGGGAAATGAGATGGGAACTGTCTTAGCTGCTTTGCTTGTGGCTGAGACAAAACACTAGGCACCCAAAGTCAGAGGAGGGAAGGTTTACTTAGCTCACAGTTCGCAGAGGTTCAGTCTATATTCAGTGGCTCCAAGGCGGGGTGGCAGGGCAGAGGGCTCTCGCAGAGGAGAAACAGTGCAAGCTTGTTAATCTGCATGCGCCTTTCCCACCTTCCCCAAGGCTACCCAGAGGCTCTGAGGCCTCAAGGCTGCCAAGCTCATAGGAGGGCGCCACAGCATGGGTGGGGCTTGTCGTGTTGGCCTTTAACAAGCCCAGAGCTCTGGCACCGGTACCCTGGGACCCACTGAGCTCAGAGCGCTCTGCCTGAAGGTCCGGAAGTACCTGGTAATTCTCCTCTCCCCAGCTCCCTGGCCCTGCCTGTCCCTCATTCCCAACCCGCTGTGACACTCGTGCCTGGGCCTGGTCTGACCAGACATCAATCTGGGCCGTAGGAGATCTACCAGGAGATGGATCCCAGCCACCTGGGGACCGTGGATGCCCACGAGATGAGGACAGCCCTCAGGAGGGCGGGTGAGAACCGGCTGGCCCTCAGCACCCCGACACTTCCGTTCTCAGGTCGTTGTCCCCGGAGGGCGGTGCAGGGACATCGTTGGGAGTGTTGGGGTCAAGGTGCCCACGTGCCTGGCCTGGGGCTCCTCTCTGCAGAGCCTGTCATGGGAGGTGGCAGGCGGGGCTCTGGAGTGGTGGCAGGGCTGGCGGACAGGCAGCTGCGGCGCCTGCTTCCAAGGCTGGGCTAGGCCTGGGGCGAGGCTGGTGGGCCTGTGTGAGGCAGTGCACGGGACCCCCGAGGCGCGGCCCTGTGAGCAGCTCTCGCCCCAGGGTTCAGCGTCAGCACCCAGGTGCAGCACACCATCGCCACTCGCTACGCCGGCCGCACGCTCTGCCTCGACTTCGACGGCTTCGTGGCCTGCATGGTCCGGCTGGAGAGCCTCTTCCGTGAGTGCCCTGGCCTCCACCCGGCCCTGCTGTCCCCTGGAGAGGCTAGGCCTGGGCGGGGCCGGCCCTGGGCCCCAGGTGGAGCCGCTTCCCGGGACCCTTGGGCTAACACGGCCTCGGGATTCCCAGCACCCACTCTGGGCAGAGCCCAGGGTGGACGGGCGGGGCCTGCTCACCCCACGAGGACCCTAAAGTCTGTGCCCTCCCGGGAGGGGATGGGGCCTCTGGAGGCCATGGGCTCGGATCTGCCCACTCACAGGGCAGTGTCCGGTGAGGGGGGCGCCTGCTCCCCGGGGGTGGGAAGAGGGAGACCAGCAGCGAGGGCCGGGCATCCACCCCACAGCCCGCCCACCACTGCCAGGTTCTGCCAGGGGCTTCTGGGGTGGCGAGGTCACGGCCCGGCCCTTTCTGCAGACGGCTGGGCCGGGCCTCTGGGCAGGGCGACATTGCCGCCCCAAAAGTGCCCCCAGCACCAGATTGGGTTGCAGCCCTTTCTTCCTGGTGCTGAGGTCTCACCGGGGCTTCACTCAGGCTTTTCGGGGCTCCTGGGGCCAGGGGAGAGCTGAGGGGTGGGTGTGGGGAGGGGCTCTGCGTCTGAAGCGGTGGGCGGTCTCCAAGGGCTCCTTCCTTCTCTGCCGTTCAGAACTGTTCCGGGTCTTGGACCGGAACCGGACGGGTGTCATCCAGCTCTCCCTGGCTGAGGTCAGTGGCTGGAGGTTGGAGTCTGTCCACGACACAGCCCTGTTCTCTACGCCACATTTCCGTGGTGCCCCGGCTCGGGAGGCAGCGGGTGGTTAAGGACTCCTGGCCCCCGAGGTTGAGCAAGTCCTGCCCAGGTTTCGGAGACCTGGGAACGCAGTGAGACGGGAGGGCGGGGTCCCGGTCGGTCCCAGAGCTTGGGCTCAGCCGTCTTCTCCCCCTGTCCCGCAGTGGCTGGGCTGTGTGCTGGTCTGAGCGGCGTATTCTCCCGCCCTCCGCCCTCCCTCCTGCGGTTCTCTGGATGCTCAGCCTCGGGGCCTTTGCTGGCTTCTCCAGTGGCTCTGCCAAGTCACTGCGCCCTGGGGCGCTGGCCTGGCTGCAGCCTTGCTGGGTGCAGCCCGAGGGGAGGACAGGCAATTAAAGCTGTGGCTGGAGCAGTCTCGCCTCTCTCTGGGGACACGAAACACGGGCCTCACGCACTAGGAGCAAGATGCTCTTGGGAAACACGACAGGAGCCCCCAAGATGGAAAACGGGGATTGATTTCCGAAGGAGGAGGCCTGCTCCCCTCAGGGCTGCTGTGGGAAAGGGGAGCACCTGCTGCCGGGGAGGGAGGCGTGGCGCCAGGTGTTGGGGGCCGGAACCTCCTCCTCCCCCTCCCTCCCCCTCCCCCTCCCTCCCTCCCCTCCTCTCACCTGGCTGCAATAAACTGA